CAAAACAAATTACACACATTATATATATATATATATATATTGTTGTCGTCATGCAAAAACTGACTATATGCATAAAGTGACCAAAAGAAATAACATTATAAAAATTTGTATAACTTAATAATATTTGTTTTTTTCACTTGGTCAATTTTTGCATGTTAACAACCATGCCTGATGTAACCATGCAAAAAGTGACCCCAAGTAACAAAAAAATATWAAGTTATACAAATTTAAAATTTAAAAATGAAATTATTATAATTTTCACTTGGTCAATTTTAGCATGACTGGCAATATTTTGTTTGAATCAATAGTACTTGATTTTATCAGACATCCTCCTTAGAAATTTCTGATTGTGCTACTTATACACTTGTACAACTACTAATTTTTCACATTGTATACCATTGTTTACTTTTAGGTATTTAGGCACTTCTATTTAAATATCTTATGACTCTAAGTTCCCATTGTTAAATTATAATTACATCTGTAATATTAAACTATATTATAGTAAGTACCTTGAAATTTTGTTTGATTTACAATTACAGCAATGGGTATAAAGTGTAATAATATTTAATACTTTATAAAAATTAATAAATAATCTATTTAGATTAAATATATAAGATAAATAAAATATTATTGCAATATTTATCCAACAATTTAATATAATAAAAAACACAAGTTGAATAAAAATTATTTTTTTTATAATTATTATTTAATAGATTATATATATATTATATATAAATATATTATATATATTTAATAGACTCTAATTATCATTCATTTTTTAATGCATAAATTATTCATTATTATTTTATCATTATTTAGCTGAAAACAGAAAATTTTAAAAAGTTTATATAGTACTGAACTATATTATTATAATAATTTTATGAAATTATTTTGTTTATGTTTACTTGCCAATAAGTTCCGATTTCTATTTAATAGCTAGTATAGAAGATAGTTATTTATAAAAAAAATAGTCATAGGCATAACTAAGAATCTGCTTTGACTGCTCTAAATCTTACTTAAGCCCTCACAAAATGATTCATATTTTAAACTTTAAAAACGATGAAATTGTAAATTTATAGCATCTACCTTTAATAATTACATAGTTATTCCTATATATATAAGTAATGCGTATATTTACAAAAAGTCATTTTAATCATTCCAACTCCCAAATTAGTATTAATATTACAGGGTTCGAATTATACGTTTTGAATTTACTATACTGAAAATGTGACATAACTGTTATAGTTATGCTTATGACTTATGAGCAATCTTAAAATGTGATCTTTAATTAATGAGATCACTATGTTTTTAAGGGTTTAGTAACCTGTGATAATGAAATAACCATTTTTTAATTTATATTTATAAATATTTTTACATTATTCTTCATGTTATTCTTTGTCCAGATATAATTGTTTACAATATTTTTTCTCAATTTACCATTTTTTTTTTTAAAACTTTTGTTGAATAATTCTTATCTTTCTGTTTATTGTTTATCACTTATTTCTTACTGTTATATTTATATTCAAAAATAGTGTTTAATGTTTATCATAATTAATTATGTTTCCATTTTCTTTTGGTTTTTGAAAATAATTCATAGTTTATTAAAAGTATCTWAAGTTAATAAGAACTAGTCAAACTAAACATTACAGTGTAATAATAAACCTGTAATATTTTAAATCCTAATATAACAATGATGGGTGTGTGGGGGGGGGGTCTATTGAGATTAAATAATTTTGCTGGTTAGGTTAGGTTGAATTATATACTGATCCCCATATTTTTATTCAATAGTACAATCAATCAAATTATGAATTTTAGAATTTTTAAGTATACTCCAGCTTAGATTTTTATACCATTTAACGAGTGTCATTCATGTGGCAGTGCAAACTTCTTTTTTTCCAAATAATTTTCCAAAAATGTATAATGTATGTGAAATTCAATCAATTTTTAAATCTTCCTAGCCATTGGCCATTATCCTTCACACAAAAAGTTAAATCCTTCAAAAAATATTAACTAAAATTGTTGATTTAAACCAATAAAAATAACATCTACATAACAATTTACAGAAAAAAAAAATTCTGATTTTTATTTGGAAAGAAGTTGTTAAAACCACATGGCATTCTTTAAAAGGTGCACAGAGCTCTTGTATTTGAATATACTAAAAATGTCAAATCATCAGAATTCAAATTAATTAATTATTATAAGGGAAAAGGGGTGAGCCCTGAKTGTGGTTGTAAACCTCGCTACATCAGGGGTTAGCCGGTGATAAAAAAGTTTCAAACTGCTCTAATATTATTAGTAAAAATTGTTTGTGTCTTATGATAAGACAAGATTCACAGATTGGCCACCCCTGTTATATAATTAAGCAATATGTAATTATTAATCACTTTTATTCACGACTATACAAAAGAGCGATTCAATATGATAGCTCTAAGCCTGGCAGCAAATACATTTTAATTTAATTCTTTGTTCTGTTATCAGTATTTTCCATATATTTTATAAAAATGTWGGATAAAGTTAATTGATATATTAATAAAAAAGGAATAACTCAGGCCCTGGGGAAAAGGCACACTTCTCTTAAACCAGCCCTTGCAATCTAGACATTCAAAATTTTAAGTTTTTATTTTACCATCCTAACAATTCCAACAATTTTCTTATTGATGTGTTACCCTTGAAGATTATTGAAATTTTGAATTCTTCAATTACAATGTTATACCAATAATTTGTTTATTGCMTTTTGTTTAGCGTATCATTGTTATGTTTTAACTTGTTTTTTTTTTACCGGTAATACTTAATTTTAAATACATTTGATATAATATTATATATATATTTTTGTAAAATGAAACTTTGAGCCTAGTCCTTACAATTATTATTATTTAATTTAACGTCTTACATTTTTTGTTTACCAAAATTTGTGAAAAACGTATCATAATATTATCCAAAAAATTGTTGAATATTTTTAAATATTTTATTTCATGACAATAGCTGTAGGTTATTAAAAACTCTAGTTATTTTCTATATCCTATGTAATTCAAATACAATTTTTACCATTAAAATAATAATTTAATAAATTGTAATCATTGAGCTGTACTGTTATATAAATATATTCATATTAACTATTAAGAACAGATTCAAAAGTAAATAATATTTGAACTAAGCTTCAATGTTGATGATTTTATATAGGTAAATAGGAAGTCATATCCTTAATATTTATGTTTTTTTGGCAGTAATTAGATTTCATAATTTAATGTTAAAAGTTGTCTTTAATAATTTATTTTAAGTATTATCTTAAATGGTTTGTTAACTTTAATGTTGGTTTTCGGGATTTTTAACAAATTTGATACTAACTTATGAATGGTAATAATTAATAAACTATTTGAAAATATGTTTTTTTTTAATTTTCACCCTTAAATAAATTTTTATGATTTCACAATAACAGATACAGACACAGGAACTCTTAAAAATAGTATGAACCAACATTTTAATTTTTAATTTATTCTAAAATGTTTGAAATTGGCTGTATCAAACCTTTAAAATACTTACTCTGACATACTCCTAAAAATTAAACTATATCTTATCTCATATTATCTTTGTCATTATTTATATTCATTGAAATTCGCATACAAACTTACTGCTTTTAAATTTTAAATTAAAAGATAGTTATTATTATAATTTATATTTTATATATATTATTATATTGTTGTTTAACAAAAAGTAATATTAAATATAAAAATAATCATTGATTACAAAATATGTACCACCTAATTTTCTTTTTGTCATGAAGTGAATTAAAAAAAAAAAACTAAATTTCTTGAAAATATTATATTTTTAACATGCATAACATATTATTTCATTTCCCAACATTCCTATTTTAGAGGATTGATGGCCAATAAATATTTCTTTACACATGAATCACATATTTTTTTTTATTCTTGTTTAACTACTGTCTGTTATTTAAATATGTTCAGCATAATATATTTTACGATATTTTTTTAATAACATATTAAATAGTTAAGGTAAAAATATTTTGTTGCAATTGTTAACAGCATCCAATTTTTAATTGTCTTCCGTGTATAATTTGTATGTTTTAAATTGATAACAAATTGTCTATCATATATTTTTATTTCTATTAAATCAAGATTTAGGTAGCATTATGAAATGTTATATAAAAATATAACAGTACAGGTAAAGAAACAGCTAATGTTTTATAATATATTATATATACATATATGGAAAAATATATGTAACTTGTTTATGTTTAATTATACACATCACAATGTTAAATGCTCTAGTATTATTTATAAGAACTATATTAAATTTAAGTTCAGTTTATTTTACAATTTTTAATTTTCTAAAGTTATGGTGATTATGTTGCTTTTGAAAATAATATATTTTTCATAAATAACTTTATTTCAGTATTTGGTTAAGTTTCAGTATTATATGAAAATGTTAAGTTATTATGAATATTTGTTATTTATTGTAACAAACATCAATTGATACGCTTAAAAATTGTTTTACATGAGTATTTCTATACATATCTTATTGGTGTATTCAGTATTGTCTTATTATGAATATTTGTTATGAAAAGTCTCTTCTATGTTTATTTTGGATTGTGTATATTTACTTCAATTTATTGTACCCTTTAGTTTTTTTTTTCTTTACTGTTTATTGTATTATTACTGTTAATAATATTAATTATACCAATTCTTGAAAAAATAAAATTTATTACATTGTGCTTTGAAGTTGAACATATTTTTTAATTTTAAATGGTATATAATTCCATCTTACGTGCTTATAAACCAACAATGAGATTATCAGTTTTAAAGAGTATTAAAACAAAATAAGCTTAGAACTAATTAGTAGAATTAATGCACATTAGATTATTATAAGATAAGAATAAAAAAGTTATTTTTATTTACAAAATTATAACAACAAACAAAATATATATTTTCATTAATTTTATTACACTTCTTTACATAATTAGATCACATAATATATTTCTATCTAACAGATTAGTTAGTATTTTATTTCATTTTGCCCATTTCGGTATAGTTAAATAATACATAATAGTAAATACTAACTAGAATCCATCAAAATCAAATGAACAATTATTTTATATCATAGAATTCTAGACTGATAAAATTCTGTTTCAATGCGTACACATAATTGAACTAGATTGTCATAAGCTCTGACAGTAGCAGCAAATCGATTATTTAGTAGTGGTGTTGTTATGATGGAAAACAAATGACCAAAAACTAAAGCATCTAACTCAGTTGGCCTGAAAAAATATTTCATTAATCAAATAAATATTTCATACACTTATGATTAATAATATACTTTTCATTAAAAAAATATTTCTTGTCTCCTAAAAAATTTGATAATGACTCGCAGATTTTTTCCACCTCTTTAAATACTTCGTCCAAAGATTTTTTTTTCCAACCTAACACATCTAAATGTGCTAACATTTCACGGCGCTTAGTATATGTAGCCCAGTGGTTCAATGGGAAAGGATAAACGGAACTGTATCTTGGTTTGGTGAGTTCTTTATAAGTAAGCTCATGGTTCCATGTAACATAAATCTAAATACAATTAAAATTATTTAATTGTTTCCAAAAAATATGCTGTAAACTAACCTCAGCATTTAAAAGAACATTATTCACTAGTGCCATGTATACTCTAAGATCCCACTTTTGAGCTTCATCTAAACTTGCCGATAGCGAATAACCCTGAAAATAAATGTATTAACGTTTAATTAAATTGAATACTTAAAATAATGTTTAATCTCACTTTAGATTGAGCAAAACTGACAATTGGTTCAAAGTCAGCAACTAAAAACTGGCCTGCTTTAATGAAAGGCACTTTACCTCGATGTGGTGACATAAATTCAGCATTTTCTCTAGCTTCTACAATGAATTCTAAACCAGCCATTTTTAAAAATGTTTTAACCGATAAACATTTTGAATTGTCAGGTAAAAGAATTTGTTCTGTTTCATAAGGCTGGTATATTACTGTGTTTTTTGGCCACTCACCTTCACCTGTAAAATTTTGAGGTAAATACAGAATAAAAGGATCTCATAAAATTATTTTTACCACAAATTTGTGTTCTTATACATTCTTTTGTCAATATATTTGATGATGTTTTGAAAACTGCCATTGTCAACTACTAATAAACATAAATTAATAAAGTAAGGTATAAGTAATAAATACTGAACATTTTACATAATTCAATAGTATTGTATTAAATGGTTATACAATTTTTTTTATTCAGTCTTAAATTCATTGGCTAATATAAACAAAATACTTAGGTAATATAAAATAAACATTCAAAATATAAGTTCATAGTTTCATACATGACTACAATAAATTTGGTTTTATTTTATTTTAATGAGATACAGGCTTAAGTCCAAAACAAATGAGATACACTAAAATAGGTATTGACACTGTTAACAATTAATCAAATGTGAAAAAGTAACAAACATTATAAAATTAACAATCTGATAATTATTGACAATGGGTCAGTATACAGATTTCATCTGTTTTATCATAATTTAATGACTGACAATATTAGTAAATTAGTAAATAATGGTATAATATTTGGTATTCTACTTTCTCAAGATGGTAGTGGAAGAGGTAGAGCAATCTTAGCTTCAGTTGTTTGTGTTGTTTGTCCAGAAGAATAAATCTGTTAATTACTTTTTTTATTATAGATAAATTATATTTTTTATACAAATAAAATTAAAGTAATATAGCTTATTTTGTATTTGATAGTCCATTTAGTATTAGAGAATGGATTAAAATATAAGAGGGCTAAATACAAACCAAGGTCTTATACTTCTGAAAGTTAATCTAAATGTCTCTAAATAAAAAAATCATAAATCCTAGTGTTCAAACAAAACAGCCATGCATATACAAACATACTTAAATTAATAGAAAAAAAATTTGGGAAAAAATTGGGTAAAAAATGGTGATAATTCCGCTAAATACAAACCAAGGTCTTATACTTCTGAAAGTTAATCTAAATGTCTCTAAATAAAAAAATCATAAATCCTAGTGTTCAAACAAAACAGCCATGCATATACAAACATACTTAAATTAATAGAAAAAAAATTTGGGAAAAAATTGGGTAAAAAATGGTGATAATTCCGCTAAATACAAACCAAGGTCTTATACTTCTGAAAGTTAATCTAAATGTCTCTAAATAAAAAAATCATAAATCCTAGTGTTCAAACAAAACAGCCATGCATATACAAACATACTTAAATTAATAGAAATTAAAAATAATAAAATAATTAGCAATATTAATTAACTAATAAACTAGATAGGTCCTAATATTCTAACTTTATACTTTTATTACAACATCATAAAATGTTAAATATATACAAAACTAATATGCTAATTTTATTTTCATTACGTTGATTTTTGAAATTTTGTAGTTATTTAAACATACAATATTTAAGAACCAAGCCAACAAGGCCAAAGTTTACTAACGAAATTAAACATAAGGAATTTCGAAGACTATATTATTACCTATGGTACCTTTTTTTATAATTATTAACACTAATACTTACCACATTCAAGAATAAAATTAACCAAAATTGAAATGAAAAACGTAAAGAAAAGATTACTAAAGTTTTTATTCAGAAAATTTTCATATTTTCATTTTGTGACTTCAAGTTGTTGATGTTTTTAGGTTTAAGATAGTACTATCTATTTAATAGTTTGATACTACCTTTGATACTATTATCACACAAAAATTCAGAATATATTGGGGTACTAATTCATACTTTCACTATGACAGTCATGATTCATGACTAAATCACAAAATAGATTAATTTCGTCATGTATTCACTAATTCACTAGTTTTTAATAAAAAATTTAACCTATTATGTGCAGCTGTAATATTGTATAATACGCAATTTTACACTCGATGCGTTCACAAACTTTACTGATTAGTGATTACTGAATATATCATTGCGAAACACAAACTTCTATATAGGTAATATTATATAGAAGTCTGTGTTGCGAAAATAATTAKGGGAGACTAGGGAGAGCACAGATATTTATATATTTCTAATATTATTTTATTTTTATTTTTATAATAGATAATGATTTAGATAATTATGTGGAGAGAGAAAAAAAAATTCATCAGTGCTGCAGCACGTCGGCACAAGAATTCGTGCAGTACCATATTTTAACACAAGTGTTGTCCACACTGATTCACGGTTGCGGCATATTTTGCACTTTTGTTTATTGGGCATTCGAGCTGCTAAATCGATCCGAAATTATAATCACACGATAAAAAAAAGTCATACGATCGCAATTCGCAAGTGATACACGCCGCGACTCCTTGCGGTTCTTCCATATCCATTCCGTGTTTGTGTGAAGTCTAACTGTGTGAGAATAGCATTTTTTTCAAGATATAGGATTTTAATTACATTTTGACATTAATTCGTTTCTCATACTCTATTGAACCAACAATGGCCGAAGCAATGAGACAAACGGTTGCGTCGCTTTTGCAGGGCATCGAAAGGTATGTTAACTCACTTGAGCACATTGTTGGATCCTCGTATCTCCAAATTGCTCTTCAGTAAATTGCACGAGTATATTTAATTGTTCGCAGATACAATCCCCAACATTTGTCTACTCTTGAACACTACGTGGAAGTACAGTCCCAAGAGAACACGTACGATTTAGAAGCGAACCTTGCAGTTCTCAAAATATATCAATTTCATCACGATTATAATTTGGATATCACCGTACAAATCATGTTGAAAGCGATCACCAACTTTCCTCATTCAGATTTCGTGCTGTGCAAATGTCTATTGAATGAAAAATTGGTAAGTAATACTTCAGTTATGTTCATCTCTAATTTTATTTTACCAAATTGAATATTGATTGTGCATAGGAAGTAAGATGCTTTTAAATTTTAAAGTCAAACAATTCAATAAAAATAAATACATTTTTAAATGTTAATGTAAATTCACTAAGTAGTATATACCATAGTCTATTCAGTTTAAGAAAGCCCCGGATGGTGGTCAAAAACCATTCTTATCAATGCGCACTACACCACCAACCCTTGTGGCATGGGTAATTGTGCCCATTAACAATATGATGAAATAAATATACTGATTCAACTAAGAAACTTTTTTGGCTATCACTCAGAATATTCTTATATTACATGGAGTCTAATAAGATATAATGTGTTATTAATATTGATCCAAATTTCCAAGTCACAACTTAGTTACCTAACATAAAAAAAAAAAAAAACTATTAATCACTGCTTTATTAAAAATTTATAACAAATATTGTTTTATATAATTTATAAAACGCGTTAAATATATTTTATTTTTATGTTCTAACTGTATTTAAGCTAAAGAAAGCGTGATCACTGSATAGTTTCTTACCTTACCCTATTCATGTTTTATTAAATGTTATAGCATATATTCTTATTATGCCACTGTGTATAGATTGTATATTCTCTAATAACAATTTAAAAAAAATGTTCTAACTATTGGCTATTCATTTTTTTGAAAAGATTTATTTATCGAGTTTCTATAATAATTTAGTGTCAGGAAGCTCCATTAAGTCAAGTATTATTCTTGGCTGATCTATTGGAAAACTGCAACTTCAAAGAATTTTGGTATAATGTGCATTCCACTCCTGAACTGTATGCTAAAGTCAATGGATTTTTAGATTCTGTTCGAAAGTTTGTGTGTCATGTGATTGGTATTAMATTTCAGTCTATTGAAAAACATCATCTTATGGAGTTATTGGGAGGTATTGATGGTAAGTAATAATGGATTGTATTCATATTAAATTCAGTATTGGTAGTAATTAATAATTATGCTTTTTGACAGATGCTGCTTTAAAACACTGGATATTAAAATACAATTGGAAAGAATTGGATAACAAATACATTTTTGTAGCAAATCAAGACGAAAATATCAAAACAAAAAATATTACTGAGAAAATTGATTATGAAAATATTTTGGGTGTCATGGCAAGTTGTCGTTAATTTCTAAAAGTTGTAAAGTCGAAATACATTTTTATACCAATACTTAAAAAATATGTTTATTAACAAAAATAATTGAAAGAATTGGTTTATATTGGATTATATTATTTTTATTGGAATAATTAAGTATGCCTACTCTTCATATCTATTCCATTACTAAGTACTAATTATTAATCAATTTAATTTAATTTTAAAATCAAGTTTACAATAATCTTAAATCTATTAAACTTTAAAATTAAGTTTATAACAACCTTGAATCTATTTTAAATTTTAAAACCGTGAAAATTATATAATAGGAATGTAATATGTATAATATGTAAAAAATTATCTGAGCAATGTCTGTTTAACTAGTTGCTGCGAAAAATTAGAGCATTTTCATGTGGTTTTAGAAATTCTTCAATTATTGCTTCAACCATTTCATTCAAAACACTTTTCAATCTACTGACATCACTAACAAAAATAAATTAACCATAATTAGTTTAATTATACAATAATTAATTAATTTAAATTAAATTTGACTAACGAAGAATTTTTAGGATCACTGCATAATTCAGCATAATATTTTATTTTGGGTTCTGTTCCACTTGTTCGTAATGTAGCAATTAAACCATTATCAAAGTAAAATGTTATCATTTGAGATGATTTTGAAACGGACAATACTGGTTTATAATCTATTGTACTGGAATCATATCCAGTTGTCATGTCTCGAACTGATTTGATCAAATATCTGCCTCCAAGAATGGATTTTGGATACTGTAAAAATAAAATAATTAATTCTGACCTTGGCCGTATTATTATCAGTGATGTGTCATTACATTATTTGGCTGGTTATTATTTTGCCTTATCGATTCAAATATTTTCTTTATTGTAAGACTATCGTTGCAAATAAAGTATGAGTTTACAGATAAATGCCAACCATATCTAAAACAAAATAAAAATGGTTTTATTTATATTGCAAAGATTTAATATCAGATAAAACTTACTGTTTGTATATAAGTTCTAAAGCTGAAGATAATGTACTATTTTCTTTTTCTAAATATATTGCTAACTCTGCTATTTTAACAGCAGCCGATATTCCATCTTTATCTAAGACCTCACTGCCGCACATGTAACCAATAGACTCTTCAAAGGCATAAATTACGTCATATCCTTCAGCAGAAAGTTGATCAGCTCTATTGCCCATCCATTTAAATCCAGTGAGTGTTTCCTAGGAGTTACAATGAATTATAATTTGTTTATTTAGTATATAAACCAAGATAATTATACTGAATATATTAATCTTGGTTTATGAATTTGTGATAAAAAGTAAGTAATGTTAGTGATTTACTTCAAATCTGATTCCTTCAATTTTAGCCATAGATTTAAGTATAGCAGATGATACTGTGCTTGATAGAACAACTAATTTAGGATGTGTTTTACCATGTATTTTTTTATAGGAATGTATCACCCACCATCCTAACAATGCACCAACTTCATTTCCAGTAAATATTTTCCAGCCCTCGCTGCCTATCCTAAAATTAAAATCTGCCTTTAATTAAGAATATATTTTTATGATAATATGAGAATAATTGTGTTACGGATGTTCTGCCACAGCCAATCTATCGGCATCAGGATCGTTAGCAAGTATAATGCGACTACAGTTGTTTTCAGCTGTTTCAATCGCCAATTTTAATGCACTTTTGCCTTCCTCTGGGTTTGGAAATGGAACAGTTGGGAATTCTGGGTTTGGATCCTTTTGTTGTTCAACAACTATCACTGGCTAAATAGTGTAATTCATAAATTATAATAGCTACTGCACAAAATAATTTATAAACATTTAATATTTATAATATAAATGGATTGAATACAATTTTGTTCAATTTCATAGATACTCACATTGAATTTGGCATTTTCAAATACATTTTTTATGTAAGGATAGCCTACACCATGCATAGGTGTATATGTAAAAATTATATTTGTATTCTTTTTATCCAAATTAGGAAACAGCATTTTATCAACAAAACAGTTGTAATGTTTCTGCAGGTCGATTAATGGATTAACTAACAAACTATTATTATAAATGTCTTCAGTATTCCAAACACCTTCAGGCTCTAAATGTTCAGTAATACTGTTTTGAATGTTTTTATCAACTGGAGATATAATCTGGAAATATATTTGAAAATGTATTCAAGTTATAAGGTGACGGTAGCAGGGGCGTCATTTCAGGTTTTTTTTTTAGTGTGCGAAGTTTCAAGCAGGCCATTTTGAAATTTCACCAGAACATATAAAAATAGATATACATACATATATGTATATCATCCTGCATTCAATTATTTCCATACATTATAGACCGKTTATTACAATTTGATTTTAATCATATAAATAATTGTGCATTCGTGGCTCGTGCATTATTTCAGGCTTCAGCAATGCGCAGGCCAATTGTAACATTCTAAAAGTAAGGGGTGCAACCGCACACCCTGCCACCCCCTAAATGACGCCCCTGGTGACAAGTGGAAAACTTATGTTCCTTAAAACTTACTAACTTGAGCACCATTTTTCCAGAATACTTTATAACCATTATCTTCTTTTGGGTTATGTGAAGCAGTAACCATAACCCCACCACAACATTTGTATATCTTAATACCAAAAGCTATAAATGGAGTTGGACAAACCTCATTCATGAGATATACTTTGATGGAATGTCTTAAAAAAACTTGTGATGTCAGTTCGGCAAATCTATATTGATTTGAAACGATTGATTAATAAATTTCATACAATGCAAATATACACTTTTTCTCTACAACCTTTTACTATTATATCTTCCATCGTATCCGATAATAATTCCAGATGTTTTTAACGTATCCCCAAAGACGCTCAACATGTAATACAAAAGCCCCTGAGCAGATTGTACGACCACCAGATCGTTCATACGTTTGAAACCAGGACCCATCGCTGCTCTTAGGCCCGCAGTTCCAAATGAAAGGCGACCATCAAACATGTTTTTTATTTTGTCCACATTTTTTTGCGCCAATATGTCTGCTAGTTCAACAGAGTACTGTTGTGACTGAAAATTACAGCTATATAAGTACACAATGCAATTTGTTCTACATAGAAACCGTTCAAACTATTGAGCTCATACTTGATTCCACGAAAACCAATTTTTCACCAGTAATTCTAAATATTCTGGCAGGAATGTTGTATCCATTTTGTTAACTACAAATGTGTTTACAAGAAGTTATTTTTGGCCAATGACTAAGATTCAACTTTCCACTGTTAAGAGTTTGTAAAATACAGAAGTCAGTATTTTAGAATTGTATAAGCCATACCTAGATAAAGAAAATTGTTGTTTGTGATAAATATTATTTTTTTTTGCTATACGCGATTATAATGAAAGTACTTTATAACAATTATAACCGTGTTAAACTCAAAATCGATTGCATAATGTAAATTTAATCAATGATAATATATTTGCAGTATAATCACAGAAGAGATTTCAATTTTCAAATACGCAACTATATTATCATTTAGCAAAAACTCAAAAAACATTGGCAACGTTGATAACGGAGACAAATARCAATATTTTTTTCAATCATTTCAACCATGAAAAGTTTAAATATTTGCTTGGTTTTGATTGACGGGTTTCGTAAAAATGTAAATATTCAGCTCTTTACAAAAATCCATCGAAATTCAGCTATATAATATCTTTCGAAGACGCTACACAATCGTTTATTGTCTCCGTCTTTCAAGTGCATAACATCATAAATTTACCCTCAGCAGATCACGTTTAGCTCCATTAGCTTCAAAATTAGAGTGAATCGACCTATTATGAAATTTGTTGTCGAGAACATTTTCTGTGTTTGTTGAGGGCCATTTTTATGACAGTTCAATTTTGAAGCAAGTTATGCGTATATAAAAAGTGTAAATTAAAGATATCCTTAACATCAAGTTTCATAATAAGTCAATTTACCCTAATTTTTAAACTAACTGAGCTAAACGTGATCTTCTAAGCGTAAATTTGCCATTTTACGCACTTGTAAGACGGAGACAACAAACATATCTGTCGCGTTCTCTTCTGTGTTTTCATAACTTCCAAACTTGATTATTTTGAGTAATACATGGAACATTTTTCGCAGAAATCACCTTTAAAAATGAATGAAGCATTTTTACTCCTCAAAAAACTCGCGAGGCACATGAATTGGTGTTGATAAATTAATAGAAATAGGTTACACCAGGCTGGACAACCCCTTATTAGTTACTTCTCCTAGTTCCACTGGGTTTAATGAATCTCAACATATTGTCTTTCAATCAATACTTATTTACGATATTACTAGTGTTAGATATTGTTTACTCGTTTGCCAAGGCACAGAGCAATATTTGGATTTGGAGCCACACCAAATGTTTACGTACGTACGTAATAACGTGATAGTATAGGCACTAGGCTGCAGCTAGACATCATTTTGTACTTCGTCATACAATTACATCCCACTATTTTAACATGAATAAACTCGCCCCACCGCTCAGATTCTAAAGGCATATTATTTTTAAGAAGTTAATTTTACACCCAATTATTTACAATTCAATCAACGATACACGAAGAAGCATTAATTTGTACAGATTATGAATTACATTGAAACCACAAAATAGCCAGTTCTAAAATCATTCAATAGTCAATATATAAAAGTATATATTGCCAGACAGCTGATTACAATTATGAACTTAATTATAAAAAAAATTACAACATTTAATTTGCAAGATTTTAAATTAATATAATTATAGTGAAACTGTGATTTATTTTCAGTACTTTTTACATCTCGGTACATAACCATATACAATAGTATATAACTTATAAAGATTTTGTTTCTTAGAAATTGAAAAACCACAGTTTAAGATATCTTAAACCGTGCAAACAACAAATCTCTACATTATTATATATAAGTATATAACATAATCACATAAATTTCATTGTCAATCACGGCAATAGACATTAGAAACCATGTAGAATCTATAGGCTATAGCTATTATCACAATACAGAAAGCACATTTAACATCCACCTGCTGTACTATGATTATATTTGTATTTAGTTACAAGACTTTCAAATAAAATAGTAATAGTAATAATAAATCGTTTACAGTAAATAGTAGAGTAGTTAATAATTTATTAATATCTCATAGTTACATGTAAACAAACAAGACAGTTTTATAAAGTTTTTCATACCATTTTATTTAACCGGTAAATTTCGTATAAATCGGATGCCAGCAATTTATATTGCAAGAAATAGCTTATTACATTCAATTTTTTAACAGTATTTAAAATATGGTAAAAACCTATTTTTTAAGATAAGTACCCACTTTAAATTACATCTACCTACAATATAACAACAAGTCAACAAACTTACACGATAAAAATACAATTCAAAATATTTACCATTTTGTCCCATAACAGGTTACAATATCATACTAGACTAACCTACAAAAAATATATGATATAGAAATACTGATCATGAATATCAACCATTTTTTTTTAGATTTTAACTGCCAACTGTAAGTCACCTATGTAATTAAATTTTTTTATTGAAGTTTATGTTTTTTTGGTTGTCCAAGGGATGCAAATTCCTAAATTGTAATAGTTTGTTGTACTTTAGATTATCCCAGGAAAAACACTTATCAAAAAAAATCCAACAGACACCAAAACACATTATTTCCTTTAAGAATTTTTTTCAGGGATAATGCCTAAATTTCAGTGCAACTCATTAATACAATAAATATGTAAAAAAAATAATAACTGAGCATTTACATTGTTGAACTAAGTTAATGAGCAACAATATTATAATTTATGTAACTGTATCTAAAGAATTAAAATATTTGAGGTTATTGAATATCTGAAAATGTTTCAAAATTGATTTAGTTAACCAAAATAACTTTTTTGTTGATATACCACGTATACCTTTTTAATTTCTTAAATCTTGAAAAATATAATAAAATTAATCCGGAAGTAGCATAGCCCTGTCATTGACCAACTCTAATAACTAGGCTGTAATATAAAAAAAAAATGCCAAAATAACTGAATACTCATAATCTGTATTCTACTTGTACAAACCTTTAGTAAAAAAATATATGTATATGATAATATAAAAATAATTTTATTAGTGTATAAAGTTAAAGCAATGTATAAAATACACTTAATATTCCATATTTAACTGATCACATAACAATGAATGAAGGCTTAATCTTAAAAATGTGTAGACTTACTTATTATGAGTGAAGTATTTATTTAATTTTTATTTATTTGTAAAACGAGTAGTGAGTACACATGAGGTTTTAATGCTATTACAATTTACTGCTGTTTACATTCAGCTGGGTTGACCTGTTTATTCAACAGTTTATCCTGACGTGGATTGTATTCAGGATCGTTAACAGTTCCTTCATCTTCATCATCATCATCGTCGTCGTCGTCATTTTCAGACTCTTCTTCTTCATCATCTTCATCATAATCATTTTCTTCCAATAATGCTTCGCCTATCATACAATTAAAAAAAAAGAAATCTAAATTAACCTAAGACAAAAATGTAATCGAATCATACCTGTGTAGTACAGAACAGCTCTAGGAATTATTCTTTCACGGATATAATGACCTATTTCAAAGTCTGTTGTCAACAAATTATCAATTTCTTCATCAACTTCAGTCTCTGGATCATCTGGTACTGAAATCCAACAATAATGCAATTAAGAAATAAAAAACTGTATACTGAATTACAATAATGTATTGGTTAGGTTAAATGACATTTAGTTAAATATATCAATTTTTTTATATAACTAACAAGAGTAAACATTTTCATCAAAATTAAATTAGGTGCCTATTATTTTAGAATTTATCTTTTTTTGTATAGGCTCAATTAAAGCCACTTAAACACAATTTGCCAAGGTGGTAGTTGTTGAAGCCAGTTATTATCAGCATTATGGAAGGACAAATCACTTATTTTAAATAATCTATCATAAACAACCTTAAATGCTTTTTGTAAAGAAAAATATTGATTAATAAAATCTAATTTAAATATGTAATGTACACATTTATTTTTAAGATTATTAACTCACCAGTAGGAGGACTGAAGAAGTGGAAAAATGATACATTTTGTACAGTCTTGTTAACAAACCGAACGGCACCCTTAACTTTATGCTTTTGTTTCTTTTTAACTACTTTCACTGTCACATTCTTTCCTTTATTCCATTGAATAGTGCAGCCCTACATTTGTATTTTTATTATTATCAAAGTTATTTCTAATATTTAAAAAAATATACACATACTTTACACTTGAAAATTTCAGGACCCTCAAAACTTAATGGATTGCTTTTATCAGGTACACATTTCATTTCATACTCCTTGGTTAGAACAGTATTAGTAAACCATTCATTAGGAGAAAAATGGAATTCCAAAGCAAAACCCTGTAATAATAAATACATAAATAAATCTAATATTATAATGATTAGTGACTACAATAAAATACCATGGGTTCTTCTAACAGATAAACTTTGATATCTGTCAAATGACTAAGTATAGGTTCATCATGGGGTTGAATCATGTCACTGATGAGACTTGTGTTCTTTAAAATAGTTAGCCAAAAGTCTGGAATGCCTTTTATCTTGTCGTTAGTACTGTCTACTACAGCTTCATTACTGTATGCAATATTATTTAATATTATTCATAAAAATGTGAAAGAAAGGATAATTATTAAAATATTAATATAAATAATAAACTTACGCTTTAGACTCCTCAAGTTTGATTTTTCCTTCCATATCTGTAGAGAGATCCTTGACATCATCTTCTTCATCTGATGGAAAATCACATTCTTCTTCAGTAGGCTCATAGTTTCCTTGAACTATATCACTTCGCTAAAATTTATAACATATAAATATATTAACTATTATAAATTTATTAACTATAATTTAAATAATTTATTATGTATTCTACCTTATTATAATATGGCAAATACTCTTTGTGGTATTTACATTCAAGAATATGAAGCTCAGTGTAGAATTTTGTATCAACATCAGTTTGTGATACCAGTAACTTTTTCAAAGCTTTAACACGTTTTTTGACTATTGGTGGAAGAATCTAAACAAATATAATTGTTAAAAATAACATAAAATCTTAAATAAAGCATTTAATTTAAAAAATCAGTATTCATTGTCAACTTTAATATAATAAAATAATTTCAAAGAGGAACCACTACTTATACAAATATAAGGATAGTTGATCATGTTATATTAAGTAAAAAATTAACCTATAATAATATTATTCTGATTGTTTTGGAGGGAAAATGAATTAGTATAAGTTAGTAGTGATTTTTTTTAAAATTTAATTATTTATCACAATTTTATATAAACCATGTATTTAAAAAAAAAATCAACRAGAAAATTGAAATTCTGGACTAATTGATATATATATAATAGAAATCAAGGATTACAATTATCACAAAACACAAATAGATTATGTTGATGACTTGACGTACTTTACATAGAAAAAAAAAACATTGGTATATCTTACCGGCATTATATCATCACCTTCTCCTTTAAAACCAGATTTATGTTTATGTGGAGTGTCCTGTTCCATTTCAGAACCAGAGGATGAAGAATCTGCATTGTCATTTTCTGCTGACATTCTGTTAAGAATAATGTTTAATTTAAAATATAAGTCGACTAAATGTAGTATACTAATAATAAATTTAAAACAAGGTCATACACAATATAATGATGGGTCAAATGACATGAATCATAACTCAAAGTCTACTCCGCACAGTACATTTGAATGTACAAAGAAAATGGATAGACAACCTACCTACAATACGAATTATTAAACTCCGAAAAATATAAATTAACATAATTCAACGTCGCTCGATTGTCGACTTCAACAGTTTTCATGCAATCAAGGAGTTTGCGTATAGTGTTTGACGAGAAAACAATTAAAATAATAATATTACAAGACGTAATAAACAACGACGGCGGCTGACGGTTGAAATGAATAGGAGGCATCAACGTCATGTCATATCCATAACCTCAATATATAGTATCGTTTTAGCGGAAAATTTAGAATCACACGAGGGGCTTTCGTGATTCCGTGCGGAAAACGAAAGTTTCCTCAATGAAGCACTTTGGTAACATCGTTTGACCACGGGCCGGCGGGTGAAAAGCCGCCCTAGTTCCTAACCTATCGTCACCTTATCACTGCGTCACGCCGACTCGATACTGAGAACAGTAATCTTAAAATAACTTCAATAATTCTCGATAGTAGTTGTATTAAAACGAGAGAAAAACGAAAGCAGCGGCGGCAGCATTACATAATTCGGCGTATTACAAAACGAGAATCGTTGGAAGCACATGGTCGTCGGCGTGTGGAGCGCGCAAGATAGTAATAAATAATAGTAATAGGCGGACAAAGTGTGTAAGGTTTTTCTTACCTGACGGCTGTCGAAAACAAAGTAGTTACGAGTAGTGAATCGCCGCGGGTAAACGCTAGTAAATTGGTTCACCGTCACGAATGTCGTATAGACCACAAGTACGCGACTTAGAGAAAACGAAAATTCCGAATGGCGCGTAGTACTAGAGACGAGGGATTGAATTGAAGTGAGCGAGTTTGAGCGACTAGAGCGACAGAAACGTAACCTTAACGACTGTTTGCCCGTTTCCCACGGTATTCATCGATAACAATGGATGCGTATTGGCCAATGGCGTGCCGACTGCCGCTCCACCGCCAAAGACGTTGTGCACCACGTGCCACGTTTGCAACGTCCGATCCAACCGAAAGATTTGGTCGCGCGGTTTTTATTTTTAAAAAGAAATAGGTACCTTCAATGGTATATCTTATGTTTCCATGAGGTAATTACTCAAACACAATTTTATATTAATTTAAATAAATATGATATCAAAGTCGTTCACAAAGTTTGAAAATTTCAGAAAAAAAAATTATTAGAATTTTTATATTTCTGTATTTAATATTATAAAGCTGATGATTTAAAAAAATTTGAACGCGCTTTAGGCGTCTCAGAAACTACGGGTTTGAATTTAAAAACTATTTTTTAGTTGAATAGTCCTTTTATCGGAGAAAGCTATAGGTTATAAACATTTTTAGTGAGTCCTCGAGTTAAGCCGGGATTCAAGAATTTATAAAAGATTTATGAATTTACTATTTAAAAAGCCGTAAAATTATTGCCACGTATCGAAAATTTAAAGTATAAGCCTGCATTCTAGCTGTCTGCAATTATTATATATCATGCAAAAACCAACATTCCTTGCTATAATTGAATTCTAAAGGATATTTTTGTGATACGTATTTGAACAAATACCGTAGAGTTGATATTCAGAAATATTCAAATGAATGGTCGTAATATATAGCTAGGTAGATATTACAGTCGATTGCGCTTTATTGGGACACATCGGTTGCATGTTATTTTGTCCCAATAATCCAAAATGAAAAAAAAAACATACAAATTTATTGAAAAACTGATTTTTTATGTTTTTATTATTACAAAATACATATTAGTTATTAGTTATTACAGTAATGGCTTTAATTTAATTTTGTTTAGAATTTCTAATTTTTGCGCAAGTGATAAATCTTTTGATACCGTATACATACGAGACATCGTTACTGCACGCGACAAATGCCTTGTTTACACGTGACGAGTACTCGGCCGTGTCACTCGTTATGTTGCTCGGTCTTGGTAGTGGGGGTAGTCACTCGGCCCAGCGAATAGAAACTGTTTCTATTCACTCGCCTGCTTATTCTCGGCCGAGTACTCGTCATGTGTGAACAAGGCAAAACACGACTAATTCACTAAATAACATTTAACACACGTCAAATTTGAACATACGATAAGATAAAATGTATAAAATGTATATAGTTTAACCTAATAATCGATTACGCAGTCAGTCGCGATTTTCGGATTATTGATCTATTAATATTTAATATTATACTCGATAAAAATGTCCCAACTATCCAGATTCACGGCCTAGATAAGCAGCGTACTTTTATATTACAAGTATACATTTGTTTTCTTAATTGTAAAATTGTCCCGATTAAGCGGTTGTCCTCTTGTCCTTATTAACCGGTGTCTCCATTAAACGGAATCGACTGTATATATTAAATATGTTAATAATAGATTTTAATGATTTTATACTTATAATTCTAGGATAATTTATCATTGCAATCATTGCATTGTGTAGAATCTATGGTCTATGGTCCATAACCGTGAGGTTAAAATATAATAATTGGTACCATTAAGGCATTAATAAGCCATTAACATAATATACGTGTACAGTATGTTGAGTAATATTATAAGTATAGGTACC